TATATATAGCATTTCGTCCCCGCTGTCTAGGTATGTATAGTAGTAAATCGGGGGTTTCTTACCTTGAAGTCGTTCGGAACATCTTGCTGGTTGAGTGGGTAGAGGCGCACAAACTTGAAACTCTCAACAAGGGCATACAGTGGTTTATTCATCTGTGCAGCGCATATCGCTAGTGTGTAGGTACCTATCTGCGTGATGACATATGCAATTTAGTTTCCGTGTATAATACAAAGCATTTCGAGGTTTCATTGTTAAATGAATATCCAATCACACCCGACACGATTATTTCCTACATTTGTGCTCAAACCTATCACTCTTTACAGTTATATGGCGATGCTTTCAAGCATTTATAAATGCAGTTGTAAGTCGTAGAGAATCAGGTTATCAAGCGTTCAATACTTATATTCGTTTTGCAACAGTTGTGTGCAGTAAACACATAAATACCATTTAATATTAAAATCATAAAATGAAATACGTATAACAACAGGATACGTTAACTATTATACCTGATTTATAATACCTCCACTTTCTACAACTCCTTCTGCGCCGACTAATACAAAGTCCACCTTCTCCATGATATATCTGCAACGTCAACAGGTCTAACTTTACACAGAATAACGAAATTAAGGAAAAATGCAAAATTATGCCAAAATCCTTATATGTTGCTACAGATAATGGGTTTCACTATAGCTAACCACTAGTAATGAAAACCTGATTTATCCCATGCAAATGATTTCAACAACACAGCTCTTTAGCAGGAGATGCATAATGTTAGCATTTAGGAAATAATTAGCCACCATTACAACATACAATTAACTGGAATTGTAAAATGCCACAATTCACATTTCATGATGAATAATACTGCTAATCAGTTTCTTAGGTAGTAACTTGACAGTGCCACGTTAATAAAGTTAACAAAGCTTTACCTGTGACAGACCTTACTAAAAAAGCCCATGCCCCATAAAATTTCCGCAATTACATTATATCCCACACGAGGTTGACCATGATGCAAGTATAATTAAGCACAAACGCACCCAACTGCGCTGTCCAGTATGAGAGTGCAGGGTATGTTAGCTTCGTCCAGTCGTTTCTTCATCGCTTCGCCGCTGCGATCGGGTAACGACTGTGTGATGTAAACCTGGAAGCGCTTGTTATGCCTCGCCGCCTCCTCTAGCGTGTTCAGCACCACGCCAGACTTGGAGTGCAGAAGAATCGTCTGCAACGTACACAAATGTCGCGTGACATCATCGTGTGTACACCTGCTACAATGTACACAAATTTCGCGTGATGTCATCATGTGTACGTCAGCTGCAACATACACGAATAACACGTGATGTCATCGTGTGTACACCAGCTGCAACGTACACGAATAACACGTGATGTCATCGTATGTACACCAGCTGCAACGTACACGAATAACACGTGATGTCATCGTATGTACACCAGCTGCAACGTACACGAATAACACGTGATGTCATCGTATGGACACCAGCTG